CAACTTCCTTGTAATGGGCCAAGGCCTGTGGGAAACTTTTTCTCTCTGTGAACTAAAATCTTTTAAAACTTTTTCTCTCAGCAAACTAAAATCTTTCATGCCTAGTTTGTGTGTCTTCAGACATGTCCAGATATGCATGTGAATAGGCCTAAGTTAGCCTGTTGCAATATGAGAGCATGTGGGGCAGAACTGAAGAATTAAACTGCCAGATTGATCTGACAGATACAGGAACTTAACAGGACCTGAAGAACCACCCACCTGACCTTGGTTAAAATGACCTATCCACACAACTGTAAGAAATAGCTACCATGCCTTGAAAAACCAAAACAACAACAACAACAACAAAAACAAAAACACTATTTTAAGTCACCAAATTTTTCAGGTGTTTGTTTTGCTAAGAGTTGACTGAGTTAGCCAGGCGTTGGTGGTGAAAGCCTTTAATCCCAGCACTCGGGAGGCAGAGGCAGACGGATCTCTGTGAGTTCGAGGCCAGCCTGGTCTCCAGAGCAAGTGCCAGGATAGGCTCCAAAGCTACCCAGAGAAACAGTGTCTTGAAAAACAGAGAAACAAACAAAAAGAGTTGACTGAGTCATCTAGGCATGGTGGTGCACACCTTCAGTCTTTCAAACTTGAAAGAGTTGACTGAATCAGAAATTGGTGCCTGAAAGCAAAATGCTACTTTTAACAAAACTCTAAAATTCAAGGTGTTTGATCAGAGACATTGGAGAAATGGCAAGCAGTGAAGTTTGGAAGCATGAGAAAATTATGTCAAGAGGCTGGAGAGATGGGAACCTGTTGAAACAGTGGGCAAACCTGTTGCCTGTGGTGACCTGGAAGATGGGAGAAAGGCATTTTAAAGACTCAGTCTGACTAAGCTCTCAAGACAGAATGACAAGTGTCAGATAGGTGTCCTGGCTATACATAGCAACTTCACAATAATAAGAGGAGTTGGCAAACAGTAGATGGTAGAAAGCTTGCCTGTTTGCAAATGGAATTCAGAGAGTAGTCAGTGAGGCAGGATTTACTAGGTTAAAAAAATGAAAGTTGGGCTGGAGAGATGGTTGAGTACTTGCTGCATAAGGTCCTGAATTTGGACTCATACCACACATGCAAAAAGCTGCCATAGTGCCTGTAAATGAAGCACTGGAGGTTGGGAGAGAAGAGGATTACTAGGGCTTGTTTAGTGTAGTGTAGTGGTAGCTAGTGTAGTGGGGAGAGTGAAACCATTGAGACTCCATCTCTAGAGAACAAGATAGTGAACATCCAATGACTTCCTTTGACTTTCCTACAAATGTTACACACACACACACACACACACACACACACACACACACACACACACACACACACACACACAAAGTTTAAAGGGATCTGAGCATCAGTCCACTTGCCTGTGTTCTCCTATATACAAGTAGGGAGGGTGCTCCATCTGGCTGGAGGACTAAGATTCATTGAATAAATGTTCAATAGTCATTCTCAGATCCCTGATGGAATGTATTACTTTCCCTGTTGTAATAAAGTGCCCTGACCCTGACAGAAGGGTTTGTGCTGGTTTACAGTTCCAGGGAATATATTCCTTCATAGTGGGGAGGGATGTTCACTGGTAGTCAGGATGCAGATGGAACTGAAGTGGCTTGCCCTTGGTGTCCCTTTCCTTTAGCGAAGGCTCTACCTCATAATGGTTCCACAGTTCCTCACAGAGCCATCAGCTGAGGACCAAGTGTTTAAATACATGAGCCCATGGGGGACATGTCACATTCAAGCCACAACAGGGAGGAAGCAGCAAAGTAAGATGCCTTAGTCCCATCACTGTGTACTCAAGTGGCGCCCTGAGTTGTCCAAAGTCTTTCCCTAACTGTAGAGAGAAATGTTAGGACTAAATTTGGGTTCCTATACCCAAACAGATTCTAAGGTTTTTGTCCATAAGTGGGAAGCACTCACACATTGGAAGAGTAGACAACTGGAAAAATCTCCTCCCCACAGGGAAGTCAGTCTCTCTGCATCCGTGCCCAGTTTCCCTTGAAGTCTCAGGCTATTATTTTGATAGGAGTTCTCAACCCTTGGGACTTCCAGATGAGCCAACTGAGAAATAATCCAGAGTGCTGAGTCAAAATATGAATTCAGACTACAAACAGATCTAGGGTAAGTTATGCCCACCTTTTAAGAACATTAGTTTGGACGGCAAACTTTATTATACAGTATGAGACAATAAAAATTACATAGACACTCATGCCTATGAAGAGACCTGTTTATTACTGAGGATATCTCATTTGGTGAAAACCACAGAAATCCACAATCAAATACATAAAGTGCAAATTCTCACAGGCTAACAATATGCCCCACTATTTTTCCAGGGGAAGATGGGATGTTGACAGAAACTGTTAAAACAAAGGCATGATTCTGAGCTACTATCAGAAATTTAATCCATTCTTATTGTGTTTTACCTGTCATATTCAATGATGTACATACACCAAGAGCTTATTGTAGCCGATAACAAGGTCTCACCATATATAGCTGCAGATACCCCTCCCTTTTTTTGCCTGAGTGACTCTAATAACACACGATACATCCTAATATTGCATCAAGTAGTATCAAATCAGATGTGGACTCACTTGAAAGGTGGGGTTATGGGTTCAAAAAAAAATGGTATCGAGATCAGTGAGATTCAAATTACATAAGACACATACATTCTTAGCCTTCTTGGCCAAAACCTTGTTTTGTGAGCAAATACTATATATTATAGTTTTCACATGGAAAGATCTTTGCACTTCCCAAAGAAACTGAGTGTGCAGCCTAGGTTTATGCCAACGTGACACAAACGAGTCCTTTTAGAAGATGGAACCTCAACTGAGAAAATGCCCCTACAGCTTGGCCTGTGGGGCATTTTGGTGACTGATGTAGGGGCTCTGGGCTGGTGCTCCTGGATGTTATCAAAAGCAGGCAAGCCACAGAGAGCAAGCCAGTAAGCAGCAATCTTCCATGGTCTCTGCTTCAGTTCCACCCAGGCTCTTGCCTTAAGTTCCTGCTCTGACTTCCCTCACTGATGGATATAGAAACTCTGAGATGAAATAAACCCTTTTCTTCCCAAGTTGCTTTTGGTCATGGTTTTTATCACAACGACAGAAACTAAGACACTGAATATTTATGGGTGTGCATGCTTAATAAACATCACTTACTGCATATTTCAGTAATGAGTATTATCTTTTAAACTTTCTTTAACTTTAAAATAAAACCTTTTAATTGTTATTATCACCAGTTAAATACTGCGTAAGAGGAGATGCTGAATTAAACAGAGTAGATATTAAAAATGATAAAGCATGACCTTTGCTCTCAGGCAGCTGACAGGTGTGTTAAGGAGTGTCAGTGAACTAAACAGAATCAACTGGCTAATACATCAGACAATATTGTAAGGTTCAAGGGTAACATAGTCATTGCAGGTCAATTAACCAGCCATGAATACTTTGGAAGTATAGGTCAGAAAGGCAGAGAATATCCTAGAATGTGTATTTATTATAATAAGGTCACTGTGTGCCCTTCCAGGAAAAAGCAACAATTGCAGGTGGGAAACTAGGCTGGAGCTGGGAATTTAGGGCATATGATAAACTTGTGTTCCTTTCTGACATTTTCCTATTTATTTATTTATTTATTTATTTATTTATTTATTTATTTGTTATGGTGCTGGGGGTATTGTATCTAGGACCTTTGGCCTATCAGGCAAGCTCTCCACCACTGAGCTACATCTCCAGCCTCCTGTGTAAAGTTCATCTTTATATTATACTTTATTGTAGAGAATTCAGAATTCTCTCTTGATTTAGAAACAGAACATGGACTCTCATGTCAGTGGTAGGCTTCTTGGGGTTTTGCTCTCAAGGCCCTATTACCCAACCTTTTCACGTTTCTCTAATTCAGGGTTCTACTAACAGAAATTTAGGAAGCAAACTCTGGTCACTTGACTAAGACTTGGCCTTTTAGTTTTATAGATTCTCTTTTTAAAGTGTAGACAGCCTTCAATTAACACAGGGGAGATGGTTTGTTGGGTGTACTAATTGGGTGAATAGTAAAAAATAATAATCAACACTAATTTTGCTTTATGATTGGTAGTAAAACCAATGCTCTATAAAGAGTCAGACAATGTGCCACTCTCTTCTACTTTAGTTTTTCTTTTTCTTTCTTTCTTTCTTTCTTTCTTTTTTTTTTTTTTGGTCTGGATCTCTCTATGCAGCCTAAGCTAATTTTGAACTCACAGCAATTCTCCTGCCTTAGTCTCTCCAGGGCTGGGATTACACACAAGTTCTCTCTTCAGATTTCTTTCAGCTCATAATAAAATGCTTTGGACAAATGTGGAAAAATATTTCCTTGAATTTTTGTGCTCTAACTGACCAAAGTCAGGGAAACCCACCCCCAATAAAATGCTAAACCAATTTACCACTTTGGATGGCATAACTGTTACGTCATCACTTTGTAGAACAAATTCAGAAAACAAAAGCCTTGTAAAAGGCCACAGCAATATCATCTATAGGAAACCAAAAGCAGGCGTTGAAAGACATTGTAGTTGTTTCATACAATACACATCTCAAATATTCTGACAACAATAAAAACAGTTTATAAACATTTCACGGCCAAGTTTAAAGCCATCTGAATGAACAGTTAACATTCTTTATCAGTGAGGTAAGAGGGTAGTAGTGTTTCACAGTAAGAGAAGGTAGAAAGATGCCTAGGGAAGAGGGAGGTAGAGCAAGAAAGGTGCAAAATTAAATGTATTCAAGTGGAATTTGTATTTTGCAAGCTTTGGAAATACCAGCAGAAAATTCTGGAAACAGAAGCAGTAGCAGCATTTGTTGAACTTCTCTAGAAGACTCCCACTTAATGTTTCTGTTGCATCAACTCCAGAAGCATCTTGATGAAGAAATGGGAGGCCTACTTGCTATATGCAGATGCCACAAAGTATCCAATCTCTTAGAATCTGTCTTAAGTTACTACATTCAAATATACTTTATATTTGCAATAGATCTCAATTATCTCACAAAACAGTGTGTTCTCCCAGATGAATGTGAGTGTGTTCAAGTCTCATACAGTTTGTTAATCAAAAAGAACACCCATCACTGCACTCATGCACTTACCATTCAAAATACACACAAGCTATTTGTGAGCCAAACTCTAGACATGAAGTAAAACACAAAAGTCACCATTAGTGCTTTATATAGAAGTCTTGTTCCAACCTGATTCTTTACATTCTTTAAAGTGTGTATGTAGGGATCTTTAAATAAGGTTTCAGACAGGTTTTTATGATCACCCCCCCAAAATTCTTACCTTGTAAACATTTCACATGGTCTATTCATTAATTTCACAATTACATATGTGAATAAAATGTATTATGATCACAGTCACCCCATTACCCTTCTCTTAACCCTCCCCTAACTCCTCCTGACTCCCTTCTTTTCAACTAGTCCCCTTCTACCCACTCTGTCTTCTTGTTTTAAGAACAGGTCTTGTCTATTCCTTTTACGTCCTTATTCCCTGTGGTGTCTTCACTACAGATCCCATTAGTGTTTCTTATTTTGACACCTTCCATAAAACCCCCAATGAGTAACATGATTTAGTTAATGAGCTCAACAGCTTTCAGTTTCAGAGTTCAACGATCTCAATTCCTTGAACTTTTTCTTAGAGGTTTTAGTTTACAATCCTTAGTTTTATTTCTTTTACTTTTGTTCTTTATCTTCTCTGGTTTTTATGCGATTCTGAAAAAACATCCAAGTAGGACAGGAATCCATACTAAGAATGCTTTTTCCTCCCCTCCCAGAACTGAGCTACTTCTCAGTGATCACTACACTAAAGGAAAACGGTAGGCTCGCTGTCTGCCCACCCTAACAAATACAAGTGAACACCCCTGAATACAGTTTACCCCACCTTTATTAGCACTTGGTTTGTGCTTCACAAGAAGCATTTCTCATGCTGCCATTACTGGCTTTTATATATCGTTTGTTGGTCTCTACTGTAATTTCCACGTTACTCTTTGATTTTTCTCCATCAATAATAACCTCCCCACTTCCTTGCATTGCCAGAGATCAACTGCAAGCTTTGCAACTATCTTTGCTTTATCTGCATGCTAGATAAGTGCTTTAACCACTGGGCTCTGTCTCAGCCTAATTCTTTTCCTCAACGCTCCAGAAAAATACCCGTTTTGACTTATTTGCTCAAAGAAAATACATTCATTCCCATACTATTGCTGAAAAAAGAGATGAACAATGCAGTGCCAAAGCTGAGACCCCTTTCCTGTTAGCACCTAGGCACCCACGGAGTCAAGCTCATGTTAAACATGCCCAGACATATTCAGATCGTTTGCTCAGCCTATACACTTTGGGAACCTTTATACATAACTGGAATTTAGCTTTTCAAGGTAAGATCTCAAATGTCAGTAACTTCACTTTAAGATGTGTATCTTATATGTATGTGGCACAAGCATTCAAACAGAAATGTTTTCTTCATAAGTGGATGACAATCATGACTTTTGTGATTATGAATAGGCTGTCACATCATTTTAGTTTCATTTTGTTCTTGGGTCACTGGAACATAGACACTAAAACTGAATATGCATGTTTCCCCATATATAGCTTTGACTATACCACTTTGCAGAATACATGCCAGTTCCTAAATTACAATAGAACAAAAATGTTTTATAATCTTAAGAATAAAAGAAAACATTCTATATATTCCTTCTCTAGAGCAAAGCCTTTAAAATAAACCCATACAGAAGAATGGCACTGTACATTAACTAGATATTATCTACAGTCATATAGGACCCAGCTCTAAGACAGCAAGGAAGGAACAAATTAACAATAGTGGCAACGTAATTTGAAAACTATGTTTGGATTACACAACCAGAATTAGCTCAAAGCTGTGACAAACCAAATCATGATTTAACATACTAATCAGTTTAGGCTTTACATTATTATTTTTAGGAAACAAATTAGTATCAGTGCTGTCTCCTATAGTCAACTTTGTTTAAACAATTACACCCCAAGGCCTTGTTACTGTTTTCCTCACTATAGTATGTATTTAGTAAACTATGTAGGGAGATGCCAATTTGAAAAGCTTAGACAATATTTCTCATTAGGGCATTTCAGAAGGCTAGACAATCAACCACAAATGACTTTCCTGAAAACTGTTTTCACACTGAAAAGGATGAAGAGTATTTATATTATCAGGAATTCCAAAGCCAGCAACACACTAAAATAAACTGACCTTAGTCTTAAACATCACTGTCAGTGTTTCCTAATACCTACAATTTCCCACCAAGCACCAACCATGTTTAACCTTGTTTATCTTCTGAGATCAAATGAGACTGGCTATTGAATCAAGGTGGTAAAAAATAAATGTCGATGTTTCATTTCTTAGTAAAATTACCATTACTTTATCAGATAAAAGAATAAATCTTACTTATAAAAATGTAATTCAAAAAAACTGCCAGTTAAATACCACGATCATTCCACAGCACAGATTTTTTATTTTTTTTTCACTTATAGGCTATGATAGCTGAATCCTAGCATGAAGACCCAACTACAGTTACATTAAGCCAGGTTTTTGTTTTTTGTTTTTGTTTTTTTTTTAAATTGCTTGCATTTTATTTAGGGGCAGGGAACACATACAATATATAAAAGTCAAAGGACAATTTATGGGAGTTGGTTTCCTCTCTCCTTTCACTATGTAAATCCCAGGGATTGAACTCAAGTTGTCAAGTTTGGTGACAGGTGCGTGCACCCATAGAGCCACCTCACCAGCCCCAATGTCATGTTTATATTGTCTATAGAAATGCATATTAGGCCAGATTTTATTAAGATCTTTTCTACAACCTTTTTTAGCGCCAACAAACCTTTTCTATAGAGGAAGCACCTATGTAGCTTGCAAGATTTCGCTTAGCCATCTGAAAACGGACCGATAAAATTATATCCAATGCAGGAACACTGTTTAGTTCACACCAGACCCTGAGAATGCACTGAGAAATGTGACAAGAACAAAGCCACTAGGAGTGCTGCCACTATTGTTTTATGTTCAGTAAATACCAGTCTTAAATACATACAGTAAATATACATCACAACAAGGGCACCTGAAACAGGTGCAAAATCACAGGCTGTAGTATCTGTCCTAAATCAGAAAACCTAAATGATCTATTATTTTTTTGAGATAGAGTCTTACTGTGTAGCCCAGGCTGGCCATTAACTAATGATCCTCCTGCCTCAGCCTCCTGAGGGCTGTAGTTACAGGAATGTGCCACCAAGCTGGGTTTCTAACTTGAAAAATCAATATCTACATCATGACAACGACACTTTTCCACAATGGGTAAGGAACAGTACCCACAGCAAACACACACATCTTTAAGAATTAATTTCCTTAACTAACCCTATAGTTATATAATGTTTCTTTTAAACCATGCTATACACAATTACAAGATATGTAACTAAGCTTAACCACAGTTTAATAAGAAAACTCACTTTTGTATTGTTTCAGATATAGGAGGAATGGCGTGCCGCTGTTAACACTTTCACTGTAATGACTGACTGTCATTTAAGATTATGAAAACATTTGACTCCTATCCCTCCAAACATTTTCATTTCAAATGTATATAGTCTATTTAACCAGCTGAACAGAGGAAAGAAAAGGGGAAAGCTAACTTGGCAGATGGAGAATTCCAACACGAGGTTCACTGTGTAGAGTTCTTCATTCCATGTCAGTGCAAAGTCATAATGTACTGATGTGCCCTAGCCTACACAGAACGCCAGATCAGTCCATTCTTACTGGGCTCAAGAAAATTCTCTATCAGAGCGTCAATGAGCTTCTTTAATTCTTCTTCCAGTAAGGCAGTGTCACTGAGGAAAACAAAAACAAAAACAAAAACAAAAAAACACAAAAAACAAACAAAAAAAAAACAAAGAACTTGAAATTCTTATTTTCATAGCCTTAACATTTTAAGTTATTTTCCCTTTTAAGGACAGCATATATCTGATGGGCCGATTAATAACTGGCAAGAAAAAAAATCACCCAGTTAAAATAAAACAAGACTCTCTCAAAACATTCATCCACAAAACAACAATCATAAACTAAAACTGAACTGCATTACTAGGTACCTTCTGGCCCATGATAAAGAATGAGTTAATTATAGCCAATTAATTCTCCTAGGCTAGGCAACTGAATAGCTCAGAAGGCCAATACCAAGTATAACCTGAGGGGCTGGGTGGTGGTGGTGCATGCCTTTAATCCCAGCACTTAGGAGGCAGAGGCAGGTGGATCTCTGTGAGTTTGAGACTAGTCTGGTCTATAAGAGCTAGTTCCAGACAGGCTCCAAAGCTACACAGGGAAACCCTGTCTCAAAAAACAAAAACAAAAACTGGCTTCCTGAGGTATCGAAGGACTTTCAATACAGGTGACATGGAAGAATATTACCTATCTTTCAGGTAGCAGAAAAGAGTGCCAGCACTCACTGGAGAGACAGAGGCAGGTGATCTCTGTGAGTTCTAGGCCAGTGTGGTTTACACAAACAGTTCCAGGCCAGGCAGGGCTACACAGTAAGAGCCTGTCTCCAAAAAGAAGAAAAGAATAATGAAGTGTTAATAAACAAAAATAACTATACACTTACAAATAATTCCTTCTGAATCGTCATGGAAGTACTGCTGCAGCCCAAAACATTTCTAGAGAAGCTTCTAGTAACTGCTTTCACAGTCATTTTACAAGCTAGGTAACAAATCCATTCTTATTACTTTAATAATTTTTTCATTTTTAACTTAAAATCACCTTGCTTGGGTAACTACAAACTTTGCTCTGAATGTAAAGAGGACTTTTTCCTCTCCAGTGGAAGTACAGTTTTAGTACACGAGCATGGGGAAATATAAAAGACACCCTAGTTGTGTTCTGAAGACAATTAAAAAATACTTCTTATACTTTTAAATAGCTTTTGATATGTTTATTAAAGAGGCTAACAATCTATAACAAACATCTCTTATTCTTAGAAAATGAATTGGGCAGATTATGCAAAACCATGGCAGACACACACACACACACACACAAAAAAAAAAAAAAAAAAAAAAAAAGCCCAAGTATTTGGTAATATACAGAGCACGTGTTGATCATTTCTTCATATTAAATCTCAAGAGTCTTCCAACAGAAATTCACAAGCTTGAAGTTCAATTCCCAAAGATATAGCTTCTTTGGAAAAAGAGTCTGGCAGTTTCTCAAAAGGTAAAACATAGTTACCTTAGGGCCCAGCAATCCTACTCCTACATACATATTCAGGAAAAATGAAAGTGCATACCACACAAACCCATTCACTAATGCTCATAATTGTTCCATTCTTGATAGCTTAAAAATGTAAATAGTCTGGATGTCCATGGATAAGTGTATTTCAGAACATGTTACATATCCATACAATGGAATATTTGGGACTAAGGATTATACAGCCAACTAAGGACCATATACTGTATTTCATTTATATAAAATGTCCTGTTATGGGTTGAATCTGAAATTTCCTTTATAGACTCAGGTATTATAAATGCTTTGTCTTCAGATATTGGTGCTATTTGGGATAGAATGTACCTGAAGGAAATAGGTCATTGGACTGTGCTTTTGAAGTTTTTAACTGACGCCTTTCCTCTCCACATGTACCATCATGCTCATCCAAAGCAATGGATTCAGGCAACCATGAACTGAAATCTCAAAAAAGCATGACTCCAAATAAATCCATCCGCCCTTTTTTTCAAGTGTTGAAAACAATAAGAAAAAGTGTAACCCATACCCAGTGTAAGTAAATCTACAGAAAAGGATAGTAGATTAGCGATTGCTTAGGGCTGTTAAAGAACTTCTACAGGGTACAGAGGCTTTCCTTTCCTCAGAACAATAAGGTTCTGAAGTTGACTGTAGTGATGGTTACACAGCTCTGGGCATATTAAAAACCACTCAGTTTTACATTTATATTTGTGAATTCTATGGTATGTAAATTATATCCAGATAAAGCTCTTACATATGTATCTAAAAGAATCAGTTCTCACCTCTGGCCAGGTGATGCACACATCTCTGCGTAATACTTTATCTTTGGTTCTGTCCCACTTGTTCGAAGAGTAGCAACACAGCCATTTTGAAAAGTAAACGTAATCATTTGGCTGTTTTTACTCACAGGCAGTACCTATGCAAAATGCAACAGTTTACACCTGTATCTTTATTTTCAAGGACTATAAACTACATTGCACTTAATGAAGCATCTAAGGTAGTCTAATTCATAGAAACAAAGTAGACTGGTTGGAGATGGGGTTAGATGGGGGGTAGAAAGTTGTTTAATGAGTACAAAATTTCAATTTATCAAGGTTAAAAAGTTATGAAAATCTGGTGTATATAGTAATATAAACATACTTAACATTACAGAACTGCGTGTTCTAAAACTGGTAAGATTTAAAAAGAGGACATGAAGTTCTGAGGGAGATGGGCTGGTAGATCTCAGAGGGAGTAGAAGGGAGGTAGTGAGGGTGTATAAGATCAAAATGCATTAAACACATGTACGAGATTTAAAAAAATAAAAAAGTTATTAAAAATGGGTAAGATACAAACATGTGTTAAATACATCAGAATATTGAAATAGCATATGAATATTACAAATGGAAACTTAAGCTAACAGTTACCATCTTAAAAATAAAATGAATATGATAATTAATTTATCACACATAAGCATCTACTGAGCACCTACCATACAGGTAGGAGCTTTGAGAGACATGGAGGAAATTGACCCACCACATGCAATACAACGATAACATAAGTAGATGTCAACAAAGATACTATTACATAATGCACAGAAAGTGACTGATTATGGGACCTGGAAGTCATAAGGAGGATGTAGCATTTGTCTTAAGTCTTAAGCCTCATGCATTCTAGGTAAACACCTTAACACCATCAGCCCTTGCCTTAAGTCTTAAATAATGGTAAGACATGAACCTACAGCAGAAAGGAGAAAAGGTAAACTAAGGCAAACAACTTGACCCAAAATATGGGAAAACTTTAAAATGTGTTTAAGAAATCAGTTCTTCTATTTGTCTAAAGGTTTGGGAGTCAGTTTGGAAACATGTTAAAATTAGAAAGATGCAGGGTGTTGAAACCAGAAGCCTTTGGACTTTGTTTTTCCACACCATTTATCACTGCACATTCCTTCTCTCACTTTCCCCTCTTCCTTGGTCTCTTTTCTTCAAGTCTACTCCCCTTTGAACCAGGGTAGTACAGATGATTATTTGGGGAGTCATGAATGTCAGAGTCAAAGAGACCAGTTAGTGCATGTCAAACTACCCTGGCACAAAATAATGAGTCCAACTTTCATGAAACTGGAGGCCACTCTTTTACTATAGCATGGATTATGACAAATACTTTAAAAGAAGTGTTTTTCAAGAGCTTCAGCTTCCAGCTAAACACAAAGGCTGCTGGGAAGGTGGTGTACCTGGAATGTGCTTAGAACGTCTTGTCAGGCTCCACCTGTAGAGCCTCACCTCTTCCATCTGGCTGTTTCTAAACTGACCACTGTAAACTAGTAAACATGAGCACACTGGCTTGAATCTTATGTGAAACTTGTTCCAGCTTGAGATTTTTTTTTTTTTTTTGTTACTAAAGTCATGAAATTGTCTACATTGTTTGAAAAAAAGAAAAGGTACTTACTGATTTCTTATTGGGCTGGCTGCTGTCATATCCAGTGGTTATGTCCCGTACGTGCAAGATAGCAAATGCCCCACAAAATTTTGGGTATTCCTTTGGAGACTCAAAATTTCGAATCCTTTCAAATATAGTTTTGATGGTAGGTGGGTCATAACACAAGAAATAGGAAGTTTTTGACATGTGATAACCGTATCTGCAAAGATTTAAAGCTGAAGTCAGATTCTAGGTAACTTTTGGGACATGTACATATTAAAGATAAGTGAACATAGTATTTTATAGAAAATGATACTGATAATTTTAATAGTAAAGAAATCTAACTGTTCCTCAAAACCAAATGAAGGACTAAACCAACCAACCAAAAAAAAAAAAAAAAAAAAAAAAAAAAAAAAGAAATGAAGATCTGGCACGTGAGAGACATACAAGAACTTACTTCTCATAAACTTTCGACAGCTGCTCTGTCAGGGTTACCTTCCTGGTTTCCAGGAAAGAGGCCATCTCAGCAACAACAACAGCGGCACTCACTCCATCTTTATCCAACACTGAGGTTCCACACAGAAAACCTGAGGGTTACACAGTGTCTTTAGAAAAGGGGAACACTTCAGCCTACAATTGCCACAGTTTCACGTTTCTTCCCTGACCAGTGAACAGAAGAGCACATTATCAAGCCAGGTGTGGTAATGTATGACTATATTTCAGTACCCAAGGGGCTTAATTGGTTGTTAATTAAAATTGTCTCAAAATAAAACAACACACACACAAAAAACCCTAACATTAACAACAAAATACAGTGACAGCAACAACAAATCTAACTCCATAGGAGTCTAGTAACAGAACGTATTCAGGAACCTTTAAGTTCTTCTCTGATGGAAAATGAACATTATGTATTGTATTGTGAGTTAGTTTTCTTAGGCAAACAATGCCTTTACGTTTTTAAGCAATGCAATGCAATGCAATGCAATGTAAGCACACCACATGCTTAAACTTTACACCATGGCCTGCATAAAGCCTTTGCTAATTCCTTCTTTGTAGCCAGATTTGAGGGTTTTTCATCTGATGAGCTACTGTCTACTTGAAAGAAAGACACATGTACTGCTAGGCATGCATCTCTGAATTTTTTCTTAAATATATATATATATTTGGTTTTTTTGAGACAGGGTTTCTCTGTGGCTTTGGAGGCTGTCCTGGAACTAGATCTTGTAGACCAGGCTGGTCTCAAACTCAGAGATCTGACTGCCTCTGCCTTTTGAGTGCTGAGATTAAAAGCATGCACCACCACTATATTTTTTAAAGCATTATGAATACTATTTAGAAATCCAGAAACTCTATAAGCTTTTTTTTTTTTTTCTGCTTTTTCCAGACAGGGTTTCTGTGGTTCTGGCTGTCTTGGAACTCACTATGTAGACCAGACTGTGCCTGCCTCTGCCTCCTAAGTGCTAGGATCACATGTGTGCACCACCACCGCCCAGCTGCATCTCTGCATTTTCACAACCAAAATTACAGCTAGAAGTAAATGTCTCCTCTCTACAGAAGTACTGTATTTTAAAATGCTTTCAACCAAAAGAAAAAGGGTTGTTAGTATTTACTACATACCAATAGACTCTTCAAATGCAAAAAGGACTTCTTTCCCATGCCCTAGGAGATCTTTTATCCTACTTCCAATCCATTTAAAGCCTGGTAATGTTTCCTGAAATGTAGAGGAAGCCACTCCAGTTAAGTGACTCTGATGAACACATATTAAAGAACTTATTTCTAAATGCACATAATGCCTCATTAGTGAGTTTCTTGTTTATATGGTCCTTGTTTATACAGTGGTAGATATATAGTCACAAACTACCATAACCACCACACACAGGCACAAAGAATGACCCACTAGCAGAGAAACAGGTGATTTACATCAAACATGTTTATGTGATGAGGAATATAAATGCATATATATTATGATCATCTACTGTACTGTGATGGGTGCTTTACATCATCTTTTCTAATGCTCACAAACAATGCTGCCGTAGTAGAGGCTCAGAGATGACCGTTCCCAAGACTGCACATGAGGGATGGGGGCAGCGTTTAATTATATTGCTTTCCTGAAACTGTCCTTTAAGCACTCATGGAGGATGTGATTTAGCCTGCTTGGGTAATCAAAGCTTTTAGATTTTAGAGACAAAATATGAGCACACCACATGCTTGAACTGTGAATTGTTCCACAAAGCTGTGGCATACATAAAGCCTTTACCAACCCTTCTTGTAATTAGATTTGAGGGCTTTTCATTTGCTGAGCTACCGTCCACTTTAAAGACATGCCCTGCTTTAGTGTCAACAGAGAAAGCATGTATGCACACTAATTCTAGAGCTTAGCCGTCACTATTTCCTAATTCAGCTTTCTACTTCCTCTTTAAAAAATAGAAATAGAAAAGCCAACACCACCCTCAGTAAAAACAAATTTATAATTTTGCTTTTTTAAAATCAAGTTTCTCTTTTATGCTCAGGATGTATTCTTTGCTATAAATAAGGAAAATGTTAACATAATCTTAGGCTTGAATAAAATTTCATTATCTTCTAATTTTTTGTATGTAACAAGCACAATACCCATTTTTTTCTTCTTTGTATGATAGGTGTGTGTGTGTGTGTGTGTACTTACATCCATGTTCATGTGAATGAGGACATATGTGTGCCAGTCCACATGTGGACTTTAAAGGACAAACTTGGGAATTGGTCCTCTCTTTCAACCTTATTTAAAACAGGGTCTTTTCATTGTTTGCCACTGCATTCAATGGGACAGCTGGCCTCTGAGTTTCAGAAGTATCCCTGTATCACATCTTGTCATAGGAGGACTAGAACTACATGCCTGCAGTACTGCATCCAACTTTACATGGGTTTTGGGGATCCAAATTTGGGTCCTCAAGAGTGCAAGGCAAAACTTTACCCACTAAGCATCTCCCCAGCCCACAATATTCTTTCACTTATCCAATTAGTGTTAAGATGCATAGCTTGGTGATGACTCAAGAAAAATGCCCATTTTTATTGATACTTGGCAAAGAGGACAGAAGACAACTTAACTGACCAGTTAGTCCAAGTAGCTGTAAAAGCAAGTCACAAAATTAATGTTCCAGCCTGGGAGTCACTACTTATTTTCTGGGTATAGAGTCACTGGATCTTAGTCTGCAATTTAGAGTTCTGGTTAAGGTAACAACTCATAATTCTGTATTTGATAGGTATAAGCAAAGATTCAATGATTATAATTCTCTGAAGTCTGTGTTACTGATAGGCCAGATTTTCCCAGGCTAAAATGTTCTATATTCCCATATGACATTTCCAGACAGTACTACATGGAGTAAGAAGCATTGATGTAATGTCTGGAAGAACATTTCATGTCAGAAATTCACATACTAGATGACTTTGACTCGGGGTGTCTAAAATTAAGCAAGTGTGAACAGAGTTAGAAAATGGGGAGAGTTATAAATGAGATCAATGAAAATCAGTCTGGTACAGAGCTGTCTTTATAGAAATATTTAGAAAAGTAACATGCAGACTTCAAATGAAGTCTGCTTCATTCTTACCTCAAAATGAAATCCTTCTTTAAGTGCAATCGCCTTTAAAATTTTAGAAGAGACAGTGGTGGCTAGCATGTACACGTTCTTCACATCAGCATTTGATTTGTTTTCTTTCCAGCAATCAAACATCCACCATCCAAACAAAGCTGCCAACTCATTCCCTGTAAAAACTTTCCAATGGCCGCTGTAGAAAGAATGAAAATTCAAAGTCAAGACCTTTGAATTTTCATGAGCTTCTCATGAAAACTTTCTGGCTCAGACCTTCAAACCACTACCCATACCCTGCCCCCACTTTTTGAAACCCCCAAAGTTATTATATGACAGAACATTTATTCCTTCTTTTCAGTGTGTTGTATATACATGTGTACCTACTTGAGTGTCATGTATGTGCACATGTAGGGAGGCCAGAAGTGAACACTGAGTAGCTTCCTCAATTACTCTTCACCTTATTGTTATAGTTTAAATTTCACGTGTGTGTGTGTGTGTGTGTGTGTGTGTGTGTGTGTGTGTGTGTGCGTGCTTTTTTGCCTGTGGACACATGTGTGTAATGCCTGTGAAGACCAGAAGAGGATGGTGGATCCCCTGGAACTGGAGTACAGACGGCTGTGAGCCACCTGATGGGCACCAAACCCAGGACTTCAGAAAGAGAAGCATGTGCTCTTAAATGCTAAGCCATCTTGCCAATTCTCCATTTTATTTTTTGGGACAGGGTCTCTCACTGGACCTGGAGATCATAAATTCAGCTAGGTGGACTAGCCAATGAACTCCATGAGCCTCCTGTCTCTGTCCCCACCAGTGCTGAGTTCATACGTGCAGCTGACCTGCTGTGTCCTGAAAACAGTTGTGTTGTGGTCATCTGCTGCCTCTGGCTCTTAGCATGTTTATACACCCTCTTCTGTGATCCTTGATTCTTGGGATGAGGAGGTGATGTAGGGTCCCATTTAGGGCTGAAGCGCAAACTACTTACTTCTCCTGAAGTTCTGCCACTGCCAGCCGGTCTGCATCAGGATCTGTGGCTAGCACTATCCGGGCATTCTCTTTCTCTGCCAATCTCAGAGAGAGTTCCTAAAAAGGTGACCCAAAAAGGATAGATTGTACTAAAGAACCCAAATCCAATGTTCTTGTTCCCAACTATAGGCACTATGTCAGTGATATGAATTTCAGAAAGCATGCAGTGTGGAGAGACAGAACTAGGGCCACTTTCTGCAGAGATTTCAAACAAATCCTTACAGCTCCAATGTAATTTGAAAGGTCACACTATGGTGCTTGCTGCAGAGCACAAGGGAAGCATGTAAGTCATCATGACATGTCACTCAGTCCCATCTAGCCTGGTGGGTAATAAGCTAAAAATATTTTAAATATTAAAAACAATACCAGCACAGATTCCCCTTCTTCAGGGTTTGGACATTTAACAGTAGAGAACTCTGGATCTGGATCTTTCTGTTCTGGGACCGGAATTGGAGGCTTAAAACCAAATACTTGAAAAGCCAATTGCACATAGTCATGTCCAACTCCATGAAAGGAGGTATGCACAAATTTCAAGGTGGTCTTTGAATTTAAGTCCCTGTAAAGAAAAATCATACACATTCTTACTTACCATTTACTAACCACTTCCTATAGAAAACAAAATTTATAAAATAAATAACATTTCATAACAACTTTCAAAATACATATAAAGAGGATACCCAACATCTGTATATACCTGGCACTTTGTTTCAACATCTATCAATTCTGTCAGTCTGGCTTTATTTCTTCAAAACATACTATTTTGCATAAAATACTTTAGTATTTAAAAACACAATCATAGCCCCACTGTCACATCTAACAAACTGAACAATAATTTTTTAATGTTGTCTAATATTTGTGTTTACATTTTCTTCAAGTGTCTAAAAATATCATCTGGTTGCTATGTCTCTCAAGTCTTTTAGTTTGTAAATGTTCTTTCCATATGTTTCCAATCCTTGTTCTCTCCCAGAGAATATCCCTGATCTTGGTATGCACATTTGCATTCTTTTCACAGTTTGTTTTTCTCCTCCTCCTTCCCTCCTTCTCTTTCAGTTTTGAGACAAAATCTTTGAAAAGTCTCCATCTGGCTTCAAACTCATTGTGTAGCTGAGGGTGACAGTTTACTTCTGATCTTCCTGCGTGTGCCCTAAGCACTGGGATCACATGTGGTATGTCACTGTGTCCAGTTTGTGTGTTACAAAGGATTCAACCCAAGGAGGGCTTTGCTTACAAAAGGCAAGCACTCTACTAACTGAGCTATGTCTCAGACCTTATGTATATTAGCACGTTTCTCTGATCTGTTTCTACAGTGAATGGATCATTCAATCTAGGGACAACATAAGATTCAATTCTTTTGGCAAGAATAGGTGCTGTATATTTTCCACTAAGTCACAAGAGGAAGTTCATAATGTCAATTTCACAGTTAATATTTATCAGTGTCCTGCCATCCTCATCTATCCATCTGCAATTTCCTATCAATTTATTGCCTATTATAAGCTTTGAGGATGGCTGCTAAGGTTCATGATCAAGATCACAAAATTGTGATGTTTTTAATTCTATTTATTCTTCTTTCTGCATTAATAGTTGAATCTGGGGAAGCTAGATCAATGGAAGAACATGTATAAAGCCCCAAGTTCAATCTCTAACACAGGAAAAATAAAAGTGGATTTTCTTTCTTTGAAAAATGTTTCTCTTTCAGCCAACTCTTCAACTCTAAAATACAATTAAACATGGGAAAGAAAAATTATCACAATGATTAAAGAATTAATCAATTTTAAAAATGAATTCATAACTCATTACAAGTCAGTCCTAAATGAATGATTTTCAGTCTAAAAACACACAAAAGTGACCAATAATGTGCTTTCTTAGTATTGCCAACAGCTGCTGGTTTTCTTTTTTTATGTCAATTAATTATGGTGATTCTTCATTTTGAAGACTTTCTAGCCTTTGGTCATTAGCAGGCCTTTCATGCTGATTCTACTATGCTTTTGATATGATCTAAGTATCTCCTAGTAAGTTAGAGGGGAGAGAGGGAGAGAAAGGTAGAGAGATGAGAGGAAGGGAGAAAGGGAGAAAGGGAGAAAGGGAGAGAGAGAGAGAGAGAGAGAGAGAGAGAGAGAGAGATAGACAGAGAAAGAAAATGAATGATTCTGATACCAAGCTTGTTGTTTAGGACATTTTCTGTATCAGGCCTGGATATACATTATTTTAAGGTCTACAGTCCCACTTGGATACCTGTGAAAACAGATCTTTTTCAGATCTTCCATGTATCTCTTGCAAATGTCCTGGAGAGGATCTTTCTTCAGAGGGCTGGTGTCCACTAAATTATCGTTCCAGGAACCATTCCAGGGTTCCACACATTCTTCGATACATTTCAGAATTTCTTTATCATGTGGAGATGTGATTTGAGCACCAGTTTCCCAATAAACCTATATGATATATAAATATAGCTGTAACTAGTTAAAATTCTTGTTAGGCTCTTTCTCAGCTATAGTAAAGCTCTCTGGCTTTTTGGGGAATATCAAATTAATTAAAAAATGTCAATATCAGAGTAATTTAGTAACACTAAAGTACATTGATGGTAATGATTTCACAGAGACTCATCAATAAGACAATCGGGTATTATATCCTATCTGAGAATATATTGCAGTAACAAGTTAATATAAGGGATCAGTATAACCACCTTATGTGCATACATTAGTGTCAGATTATATTCTTAGATTTATAACTATATACTAAAGGTAAAATTTAAAAAAAAAAAAAACATGAAATGGGGCGGAAGAGATAGCTCAGCAGTTAAGAGCATTGGCTGCTCTTGCAGAGGATCCAGGTTGGTTCATAGCCATCTGTAACTCCAATCTCAGTTTCACAGGATCTGACACCTCTTGCAGCACTACACTGAGGGTATTGTATACATGTGGTACACAGACATACATGCAGGCAAAACATTCATACACTTAAAAATAAACAAATCTTTAAATACAAAGAAACCACAAAGTATCCACAAAACTTACACTATTAAACTCAGCACTGTTATATGAAACAGAATAATTCCCATTGCAAAAAAAATTAAAGTAGAATTTATGTAATATCAAACTTATGTGTCAGAAAAGATAAAGATGGCATATTATGTATTTACATACATTTCAACCAGTTTTCAATTTGTCTAGTAGTTTAATCAGTGTGGCACTAAGAACAATCACACACCCCAAAAGCAAAAAACAAAAAAAAAGGTAATTCTAAGACTTCACAGGGTTTCAAAGATGGAAGGGATGTTCCTGATCATGGATATGACATGGAACCCTGTTCCATCCTAAATGAAAGAGAACCAAATATATTTGAATGCATATACTATATATTAAACTCTGTCACAAGCAATGTGACAAATTATTTGACTTAAAAATTCTTCTATCAACAACAGAAACAACAGGAAATATACAAATTCATAGAAATTAACTCACTACTGAATTAAAAATGGGTCAAAACAAAAATCAAGAAGAAAATTAAAACTTTTTAGCACTGAATAAAAATGGAAACACAACATACCCAAACCTATGGAACACAATGAAGGCAGTTCTAAGAGGCAAGTTCATAGCTCTAAGTGCCTACATAAAAAAAATAAAAGCTCCTGACGAAAGTGACCTGCGTGCCGAACAGTTCGGCGGCGGGTTCTGAAAACCGAACACCCAGAGGCAGCCCAGCCTCCATCTGCCAATCCAGGTAGGCCAGGAACTGTTTCCGGTTCCAGTTTGTTGTCGCTGCTCAGAGTCACCTGACCAAAGCGACCTGCATGCCAGACATGTTCGGCCCCAACACCCAGAGGCAGCCCCCCTCCATCCACCAACCCAGGACCCTACATGCCGCCAGAACACTGCCGACACCCAGGGAAAAGTGACACCTCCATTCACGAGAAGCCGACCGACATCAGAGTATTGGATCTGTTTGCATCTACCAGAAGAGAACCTTGGTTCCCACACCCACCAGGAGAACAAGAAACTCTTGCTACACCCACCAGAAGAAAGGATGAGAAGAGGACAAGGTAAAAACACATCCAACAACAGAAAACCCAATGTGATACCACCAGAGACTAGGAACCATACGCCAGTAAGACCTGAACATCACACAGTGCAGATGAACCAGAAGAGAATGACCTTAAAAACATCTTCAGGAAAATGATAGGTGATCTCAAGGAGAACATGAGAAAATCCCATAAAGAAATGGAAGAAAAAACTAACCAAAAAATACAAGATATCAATCTTCAAGTCAATCAATATCAATCTCTCAAGGAAACAGTTCAAGAACTAAAATCTGAAATGAAGACAATGAAGAAAGCACAATCTGGGGGAATGCTGGAAATAGAAAAGCTGGGTAAACGATCAGGAACTACAGATGTAAGCATAACCAACAGAATACAAGAGATGGAAGAGAGAATCTCAGGGATTGAAGACACACTAGCGGAAATAGACTCATCAACCAAAGAAAGTCTTAAGTCCAACAAATCCCTATCACAAAATATCCAGGAAATATGGGATACTGTGAAAAGACCAAACCTAAGAATAATAGGTATAGAAGAAGGTGAAGAAAGCCAACTCAAAGGCGCAGAAAACATATTCAACAAAATCATAGAAAACTTTCCCAACCTAAAGAAAGACATACCAATGAAAAT